AGGTTTCTACTCCCCTTTAAAAATAAATTAAGGCAAACAATCACCGAACCCAGCTTTACCACAGATATTGTACTGGACATCTTAAAGAAAACATTAAAACCAAACAGGATATGCACAATTTACACATCAGACAACATTTTTAAGATAGTGCAAGATGTGTTTTCTAAAGAGTTTTCTCACAATAAACTTTTCAAATTGTTTAGGTGTACAACTTTCCTAAATGATATTACTAATACTACTGACCAAGAAAAAATTGTCAATGATTATCACAATAATAACAATCACCGAGGTATTGATGAAACACTAATGCATCTTAAAAGAAAAGTTTACTTTCCATATATGAAAAGTAAAATAGCACAGATAATAAAGAGTTGTGAAATTTGCCTCACACTTAAATATGATAGACAGCCACAAAAACCACCTTTTCAAGTACCACAAACTCCTTGCAAACCAATGGAAATAATTCATATAGATATATACACGATAAACAAAAACTATAACCTTACACTAATAGATAAGTTTTCAAAATTCGCATGTGCCTACCCTATACCCAACAGGACCTGCATAAACGTCGTCACTTCCATGAAACATTTTTTTAGTCTTTTTTGGAATACCTAAAAAACTAATCTATGACCAAGGTGCAGAGTTTTCCGGCAGTATATTTAAAGACTTTTGCAATCAATATGACATCCAATGTCATGTAACATCCTTCCAACAGTCATCCAGCAACTCCCCGGTAGAACGACTACATTCAACACTTACCGAAATTTATAGAATAATCACCGAACTAAAAAAAAAATACAAGCAGACAAATAAACACGAAGAAACTCTTTCTGAAACACTTCTAACCTACAATAACGCTATACATTCATCTACAAAACTCACACCTTTCGAACTTTTCACTGGACGCACTCATATTTTTGAACAAACTATTAAATACGACAATAATCACGAATATTTGCAAAAATTAAATTTCTTCCGATCAAAATTATACCAAGAGGTAAAAGAAATGTTACATAAAAATACCAAACACAATTTGGATAAACTTAATGTTGCTAGAAAATCTGCAACACTTGTATCCAATAATGATACCATATTTAGAAGGGAGAATCGTAGAAATAAGCTAACACCAAGATTCTCCAAACATAAAGTTTTACAAGATAATGGCAACACAATTATCACTACACACCCACAAAAAATACATAAATCTAAAATAAGGCGAACAACATAATAATAGGCAGTATAATTTTTAATTTTAATGTATACTATTCATAGTACTTAAGCATAGTATAAACAAAAGATGACATTTTATATTATACTTTATCTTTATTTTTGTGTTGTGTTGGTCTCACATCCTTTGAGTATGCTCAATCCACATAACAAATCAGTGGTATCCACCTGGACACCCTGTTTTTAATCATTTGCTTCATTTTGGGGAGGGAGGAGTTACCAACCCAACAACACACACAAACACATATTCAATAATTCTTTGTACACACATAAGCACACACAAAAACACTCAAACACACACACAATTATAAAATACCTACACATAAGCATTGTACTCTTTGTAAGAAGATACGAAACAAAGAAACCAAAAAACTTAGAAATAAAGACTCACTTCTGTTTTGGCATTTGAATGAAGAGGACGTTTTATTAATATCTTGACACCTACATATATACACCATCTAGCTCCCGATGGTAATTAGCGCAATGGCAATCGCAATTATCGAGCTCAGTCTTATATAACGCATACGACCCGTAGGAAGTAATTTAAATTGAAGTTACACGAGTGCTTCTTCTGCAGCTTTAGCTTCTTTTTCTTCTTTTATCATTTCGTAACGCCCACCTGGGCTGCTTGGCGATTGGTCGGCAGGTGGGTGGTTGGCATTTTTGTGTGGTTTGTAGTGGGTGCAGTGCTGATGTCATGTGGGGTATCCATGGCACTTCAATTACAATGAATAATGAGTATTAATGGGCGCCGACTAAAGGGTCTCACCCTTCAAATCGCCCAGCAAACTCTAATGAAAGCTTAGGCCAGGTTTTTTTCAGAGCAAGTCGTTAAAGTGGAAACAAGCAAATGACTTAGTGGAGTTTAACTGCTTGATAATTTCTTTCTTTATACACTCTCAAAGCAAAATGGATTCGAATTCTGATTTAATTTCTATTTATATAAGAATCTATAATTTAATTTTAATTTAATTTGTATATCAATTTATTTTGGGTATTTTAGATTTTGATATTATTTTTTATAAATTAACTTATATGATTTTCAATTTATATTATTTATAAATTTTGAAAATTAAATATTTTTATTTTTATTTAGTTTTGAAATTATGAATTTAAATTTTTTTAAATATTTATTACGAGCTTGCCAACGAATATATATATTTTTTTATTATTATTATTAATATTAAAAACATTTTTATAATTTTAATCTATATCATTTTTATTAATGTTTATAATTTTATATAGTTTTATTTTACTTGAAATTTGATGAGCTTATTTAGTGTACAATTTCTTTTAATATTTTTAATGTATTTATTTTATTTTTTTTATTTTTATTTATTTTTTTTATTTTTTTTTATTTTTATTTTGTCAACGAGTTTTGATATTTCTAGGTATTATATTTATAGAATAATTTGTTCTCGGTGTACTTTCGTCTCGGATCAATAAACTTTAATGGCTTAAGATGACGCATATCATAGCTCAAAATACCATTAAAAAAAGGCCAAAGTTCAGAAACCTTCTGCTAATAATTACAATAATTAAAACAAGCAACACAACAAAATAAAAAATAAAATAAAAATAAAAATAAAACAATTGAAAGAGTAAGAGAAAACAGAGAGCGTAATTAGTGAAAGAGAAAACATTGACATTGAATTATAACGCCGCGTGCAAGGCACCAAAATAATAATAAATAATTGTGTTATAAATGCAATGAATGCGTAAACAAAGTGAAGTAAAGTCAAGTTAATAAAGATCAACAAACACGCACACAGACCGATTTTATTCGCTGCCCACCAAAAACCACAAAAATAAAAGGAGTATAAATAAAACACAGGTGGGCGGCGGGCAAAAGGTGAACCAAAGTACAACAAATCAATGAATGCAACAATAGACAGCAATAATATTAACAGTTAACGCCTAAGGGCGTGGCACACACACACACACACACACACACACGGACACACACAATCTAAATCACTGAGGGACTCCATATACCGACTCTAATGCCTACAAAGCCTGACACGCACTTACAAATCGATTTGTTTCGCTGACGTATCTCATGGATGCCGCCAATGCCAGTGCACGTATATCTGCAACTCACTGTTGCTAGCTGTGTGCGCTGTGTGTGTTTGAGTGTGTCATGTTTCATTGAGTACAATGCCTAGTTAAATACTGTGGCCGCCGCAATTTGTATCTCGCACTTTGTTTACTTATGCTGTCATCTGGTATTGTTTGGCGCTAAGAGTGCGCCGCTCGCTCGCCTCTTGCCTGCCTCCTCTACTCAACAACAATCTGCCAGCCACACACACACGCACACACCAGCAGCGTTTTGCTAGCCATTTGCAGTCAATCACAACATTTGCTGCCGCAAACTTTGCATTTGCCATTCAGTTTGTGGGAGCTTGTCAGCGCTTGGTTTGTGCTGGGGCTCTTTTTTTTTTTTTTTTTTTTTTTTTTTTTTGGGCCTTTTGGTTCGTTTTGACTCTCGACCATCATTTGTGTTTACCCTCGCGGCTTTACTGGCAATTAAACATGTATATGCTGACGCTTTGCCACTAAGTCGCTTGCGACGTACCCGTTTGCCCCCATTTTCCCCCTTCCCTTTTTCAGGGCTTTGTGGCATGCGCCTAGTCGAGTGCGCTAAAAGATTTATGTGCGAATTTTATGTGCAGTTAGCTTCAATTACAAAATTTTTTTTTTATTTTGACTCACTTGACGTACACAGGATCTGGTCAAGTGCATATATAAACTGGATGTAGACCATTAATAAATGCGCTTAAGCGATTGGCGAGTGCAGCATGTGTTCTGTTATCTGTTATTTTCATACCCTGAACCCATTGAAAATGGGAAGTCAGGGTATAATGGTTTTGTGACAAGTATGTAATATCTATAAAAGAAATTATTCAACAAGTAAATTCTCATAATATTGCCCACACTGCAGCGCAGCCCAAGCGCAGTCGCTTCTTACTGAGCAGTTAGCAGAGCGCAGGCTTATGCATGCGTGTGGATGCATGTGTATGTATGTGTGCATAAAAAAGTGCAGACTGAGTAGAATATCAGCTTAGAGGGTTCAGGGTATCTCCTAGTCGAGCAGTCTCGACTGCAGCCTTCTTACTTGTTTTGTATAAGTCGACATGAAATTCAATATTTAGTTAAATGTTATTAGCTTAAACTGAGTGTCAATGCTTAATCAAACAGATTAAGTGATATTGAGTTGCGCAGCAGATAGTAAATTATATAGTGAACATATTTTCTGGCTGTTTAGTAATATTAAGCTGTTAAGTAATATCTGTTATCTATCATCTGTTAAATTAAATTATCGGTTATAAATTTTTTGTAAGCTTCTCTGTCTGTCAAAATTGTACATTTGATTGGCTGTTAAGTAGTATATTTAATATCTACTATCTGTACCACTTATCTGATTATAAGACATTAAACTAGATGTTGAAATAATATATTAATTTCAGAATTGTTTATCGAAAAAACCGTTAATGATAAAAGTTCATGGTATATGATATATTTTTAAATCCTACAAAGTTTGCCAAATATATTTTCCTATTTTTCTATAATTATTTATTTTAATTTAAAATAAAGGTATCTCTACAATTATTTTACTCTTCATTCATAAATCTTTTTCAAGGCTAAATGCGATTCTGTAAATTTTGTAAGTGGCGCCATCTATGTGTCACGTTTGCCCGGCTTATCAGTCACGCATTCAAACAGCTGTTGCTTCGTCTGCGGCTGTTTACTAACTACCTTGAACAAGTTCAGCGCAAAAGCTCTGCCGCCGAGCCTCAAAGAAGCCAAAGAAAATAAACAACACAAAGACGAAGTGAAAAGATTGTACCACAATAAAACATAATACACAGTAATTCACAAATGCGGGCAGTTATCAACTGCAGTTCCGCACGAGAAGATCCGCGATCAGACGTAGCTTTCGGTTAAAGAGTTGAACTAACTAGGCCTGTGGAAATATGGATGTATTAGATGACGACGACAAGTACAGCGAGCAGGTGAGACTGATTGTCGCTTATCTTGCCCCATTCTCAAATAATAATTCTCCAAATACTCTGTAGACAATGCAAATAAGAGTATATTTGGTTAGGTGAAATAGAATATACATTTTTTATTCCGGATTTAGTAGGGCAGTTCTTGTAGTAGTGTATTCCGAATTCAAGAGAGCTTAGCTGTCTCGATAAGTTCACAATTTAAGAGGTCAACTGTAAACAGAGTATTCCACAGCTGGTAACAATCGATCTCAATGTACCATTCTATTTGTATTTGTTCAGCTTATTCTGGTGCAACAGAATCTACGCACGTTGCCCCCTGAGGTGGTGCAGCGCTATGCGGAGATTACGGAGCACTTGGATTTGAGTCACAATTGTCTCAAGGATCTCTCCTGGCTGGCCGAGTTTGAGCAGTTGCGTTATCTGGTGCTGGATTGCAATCGCTTGCACGAGTCACAGCTGCGCACCTTGACGGTGCCGCTGCCACAGCTGGAGGTGCTCATGTTGAACAAAAATGAGGTAGTAGGTCAAATGCATATGCTCGTTCAAAGCTGATTACAGAGTATATCGATTGCAGTTCAGTGATCTGACAGCAACAATCCGGCTTATCAGGCGACTCTTTCCCAACATACAGTACCTAAGCCTCCATGGCAATCCCATTTGCCCGGACGGCCTCCACTTGCAGCCCTTCTCCAGCTACTTGGACTACGATTACGCATACTACAGGTGGGCAAATCAATAAGTTATTGAAATGAATGCAATATACTTCTGCTCTATTTTTAGCAATTTTATCGCACAATCGCTTCACAAGTTGAAATTCCTTGATCATGCACTGGTTAAACGTTCCTTCACCTATGAGAGCTTCCCCATCAAGCGATACGGCAGAGCTGACAATTCACCTGTGAGCACAACAAGACTCTGAGCAATAGAAATGGAAAAATACCTAATTTGCTGGACCTAACTGATAAAATCTCAATATTACAATTCATATGCATACCTGTATTTTTATAACACTCAAAAGCTCTTAGTTTCGACAAGCACCCATTATTTTTGATGAAAGCCCAAACTGTGAAGCTTTTTTGGCACGCGAACAGACGCATAAAGCATAAAGCACAAAAAATATTAAAGCAAACTAATAAATACCTCGCAAAATTGTGGAAATTATAATAAAATAAATTGTACAACATTTATTGAAGAAATAGAGCGAATTTATTTCAGATAAAGATTATACATTTAATAGCTTAAACATTGGGCTAATTCCAACACATTTTTAGGTCTGGAAAAACGAAAACAAATATGTATAATAAAATATTTAAATTATAAAACAATATTACTCTACAGATTTAAATAAAGTTGAATATTTAATACATATTTCAAATAAACTGATCTTATGATATATATAATATATATGATCTTTATAATTGTATACATTTTTTAAAAATCTAACAAAAAAATACATGAGTTAAGTATAGATAAGAAAAATATATTTCAATGAATTGAACCTAAAAAAAATTATATACTTATAATAAATATATATAGAGACCCAGCTACCTTTTACTACTGGCTTTACAGGATTTATGCATATATAAACAGTAGACAGCTTTGCAAACATATTTTCAGTTCGTCTTTCGCCGGCCGGCAAAACAGATAAAGAAGGACAGCAGCAAAGCGTGCAAGCGGTAAAAGGCGTAGCAACTGAGAATAGCAGCTATATAAAGCATATAGAAAACGAGATCAGCTTCAGTTTATTGCAAACGCTCAAGAAGTCAACTTGTGAGACTCAATCAGCAGCAGCCCGTCTCAATATGGCAAATTCCACAGCAAAGCCCAAGTACACGAAGGTAAGTCGACAGCTGTCAATGTGCATAGTATATATAGCTGATAAATATATATATGAACAAATATTATGAGTGTAGAATATCAATTACATGACTAGAGTTAGCAACAGTCAATGCAGTTAGTTGGGCAAGGCATTGCTCCTTGAACTGCATATTTTCTAGTTAAAACAAAAAAGTGCCTATATTTCATATTAAAGTAAAATGAATGCGACTCAAAATCGTAATCGTCTAATTGATTTTGTTAAAATATTTGCAAAGCCTGTTAGGAATAAAAATAAAAAATAAAATAAACTCGTGTTTGTATCGCAACACTTAAAAAGTCGCTATTACATATGCGAGCTGTATCTATGTCTGTATATATAAACATCTAAATTATAATATATGTGCGAGCTACGACAGCTCAGTATATATTTTAAATAATTGTGTTGATACACTTAATTTGCTGTCGGCCCATCTGGCGCTTTATCAGTTGACAATGACGAGCACTATTCAGACATAAGTAGGAGGGCATAATGTACACTATAAATATATATACATATATTCATATGTATGATTAAATATGCATGAATCTGTAGATTAATATTATAAGGTTATATATTTATATATTTTTAAAGATATAACTAAATTAAGTTAAATGGAAAAGAATGATTATTTGCTTTTCTTGTGTGAATAAATGCCATATAATATATATGCAAGCTATAAAGGATAAAGTGCATAGTTTGTTCGAGATATACAAATGTCAATACAAATATATAATATATATAATAATATTATTATATTTTAAGGTGTGATTAATGTCTTCATACAGCAGCAGCAACTGATTAAAGAAATTTGTGAAATCTAAATTTAAGCCAAGCCTTGCTTACTACTCCGGAATATAACTATAGAAGAGGCAAGAGACACTGCAAAAAAAGGAGTATATTAATCTATAAATAGCAGTCTTCTTGATTATTTCAACTTAATCGCTGCAGCTCTTTACAGGAATTATCGCAAGTTTTTACTTGTTTACACCATTCCATGTAGGACTTAAACAGCGAGTAATCATATAATTACTATATGGCCTGATAATGACCAAGTTGATAAGGGGCTAACACAATGTTAGATTAGTTGGGCTCGCGACAACAAGTTAAATAGATAATTGAATAGCCTGACTATGGCAGTTTAAATATTTACATGATCTCTCAATGATGCTTTAGTGTAATTTGCTCCTGATGTGTTAAATGAACAACATTTACTCAATCCCAATGCCTCTGACAAGGACAGTAATTGAAGTTAATTTTATTAATTCCGTTTCGAGTCGAGATTGGAATTTCAATTATATTCACATTGAAGAAAACTGTCGCGTGACTAACAACTTGTTAAGTTCGAATTAAGTAGGGGGCAAAGGTCGCTGATGAAGTGGCGCCATTTAGTGACACTTCAGGTGGTGCACCTGAAAGTGGGCTGCCACAGCTCCAGCTACGAGCAGCGCCCTTCTGCCTACCGTGAGGTAAACACACTTTGACGAACACTGAACCCATATATGCCATCTCCACTTGCAGTTGTTCATCAACAATGAGTTCGTTGACGCCGTATCCGGCAAGACCTTTGCCACCCAGAATCCGGCCACAGGCAAGGAGATCGTCCAGGTGGCCGAGGGCGACAAGGTGAGTGGGCCAGGCCATTACAAACGATTCCCTGTCAAAACTGCATTCGTCCTCTCCTCCCTTCCTCCCAGGCTGATGTGGATCTAGCTGTGGCTGCTGCCAAGAAAGCCTTCCATCGTGGCTCCGCCTGGCGCCAAATGAGTCCGCTGCAGCGCACAAACCTGATGAACAAGTGAGTGGCTTTCCCTTTAATTTAGTACCCCTCTAACCCACCCGGTTCCTTGCAGACTCTGCGAGCTCATGGAGCGCGACAAGCACTTCCTGGCCAGCATTGAGACCCAGGACAATGGCAAGCCCTTCGCCGAGGCACTCTTCGACGTGACCATCTCGATCATGACACTGCAGTACTATGCTGGTTGGACGGACAAGTTCTTCGGGGACACCATACCCGCCGGTGGCTTTATTGCCATGACACGCAAGGAGCCGGTGGGCGTGGTGGGTCAGATAATACCCTGGAACTATCCACTGCTGATGTTGGCCTGGAAGTGGGGTCCCGCCTTGGCCGTCGGTTGCACCATTGTCATGAAGCCGGCAGAGCAGACGCCACTCACAGCCCTCCATATGGCCGCCCTGGCCAAGGAGGCGGGCTTCCCAGCGGGCGTCATCAATGTGATAAACGGCTTTGGACCCACTGCGGGCGCTGCTATCAGTGAGCATCCCGACATTGCCAAGGTGGCGTTCACCGGCTCCGTGGACATTGGACGCATTGTGATGCAGGCGGCGGCCAAATCCAATCTGAAGCGCGTCTCCTTGGAGCTGGGCGGCAAGAGTCCCGTCGTTGTCTTCGAGGATGCGGATAGTGAGTGTTGTATGATTTGACCATGAGAACTTTCAGTTGATTGGCTTACCCTTCAGTTGACTACGCTGTGGACACCACCCACGAGGCGCTCTTCTCCAATCATGGCCAGAGCTGCTGCGCCGGCAGTCGCACCTACGTACACGAGAAGATCTACGACAAGTTCGTGGAGAAGGCGGCTGCCAAGGCCAAGGCACGCACCGTGGGCAATCCCTTCGACGAGAAGGTGCTGCAGGGCCCGCAGATCGACGAGGAAATGATGACCAAGGTCCTCGGCTACATTGAGAGCGGCAAGCAGCAGGGCGCCAAGCTGCAGGCTGGCGGCAAGCGCATTGGCAATGTGGGCTACTTCATTGAACCCACCGTCTTCTCCGACGTCAAGGACGATATGCGCATTGCCCAGGAGGAGGTAAGCCCGAACTGAGTAACACTTCTCTCAACAATGACTAACCTAATCTACTCTTAGATCTTTGGACCCGTTCAGTCCATCTTCAAGTTCAGCAGCATTGACGAGATGATCGAGCGAGCCAACAACGTGAAGTACGGCCTGGCCGCCGGCGTCATCACCAACGACATCAACAAGGCCATGAAGTTCGCCAATAGCGTCGATGCCGGCTCCGTTTGGATCAATTGCTACGATGCCGTGCTGCCCCAAACCCCATTCGGTGGCTACAAGCAGTCGGGCATTGGCCGCGAGCTGGGCAAGGATGGCTTGGACAACTATCTGGAGACAAAGACCATCACCATGAAGCTGCTCTAAGAACGTGGGCAGACTTTGTATTTGGAATATTTGTATTTTATTTGCACCTTTCGGTTCTGTGGTTAGACTATTGCATTTTTCATTAAAACTATTCTTCGAAAACTAAACACGATTATTATTATCATTATTATTATTATATAAATTAAAACGAGGCACGAGTTCACTTAGTTTAGGCTTAGTTAATATCATTGAATTGTTCGAAACCTATTTAATTATATTTTTTTTTTTATTTATATATATATATATTTTTTTTTTTTTTTTTTTTTGGATTTCAGCAAATAGAGAACCTTTGTAATATTCTTGCAGAGAATTATGTGGTTGAAGGAGAGAAGAATATGTAATCTAAGGTAGAAAAATATTTATGCCATGATCATGGGTTCATTGAGTCATTATCCGAGTCTTAGTGAGTTATCGATCGGAAGTAATTTTTCTTTGGAAAACAAATTTACATATAACCAAAACATCGTTTTTTTTGGGAAACTTTTTGTGATTCCAGTATATAAATAAAATATTTTCAGATCGTGCTAAATATATTTAAGCTAATAAAATTTTTGTACTCAAATCTTGTACATCGAATTCTCCCTACTAAACTGACGAGCTATAAAAGACACTCAAAGCGATCGGGAAAATCCTTGGTGCATGAGTTTACCTATACAAAATTTTGATGCAAGAGTTTATATTTAATAACCCCAACAACAGTGGAGTGGTAGATCATATAACTGAGACTATATACATTGCTTCAATTTGAAGTTTCGCAATTGTATATTATATTTTCTGCCTTTTGTTTTGAAAGCAATACAAAATTTCAATTAAGAGTTGATTGCTTCTATAACAACAAACGTGAGATAATATTTCACTACTGATAAGATGCTCATACATGAGGGCTTACGTGATAAAGAAAGCTTATCTCATTTTGGCAGTTAGATAGGGTAGTTGATATTACTTTTATAATTCCCAAATAGGTAAAATAAGAAACTTTGGCTTCTGCAAGAATATTTAAGCTTCGGCTGGCCGAAGCTAGCTCTTCTTGCTTAATCTCTTCTAGTTCCGCCCTTTGAAACTCTGCTTTGTTCGCTAAAAGAATCGTATAAAAATAAACCTGAGATTTCTGATGTGCTTTTGCTTGTGACAAAGTCAAGGCTTAGGCGACAGTTGTCAAGTGTATTTGTTGTTGTTGTTGTTGCTGTTGTTGTTGTTGTTGTTGTTCGTGGGTCTTCGCATCGAGCAGCGGCACTGTGATATCGCTGAGTCGTGACTTGGCGCTCTGAAAATCATCCTCGGACCTAGGCCTCAGCTGCTGCTTGTGCTGTGGACTGCTTTGCTGCACCTCCGTATAGACCGGCTGCAGCGGTCGATCGAACATGTCCTCAATGTCAACCAGCTGAAAATCGATGGCGAGCACATAGCGCAGCACCATGATCAGCAGGGCCAGGAACCACAAGACCATACTGATGATGTAGCTGCACCGAAACAGATCCAGATATGCATCATGCGAGATGCTGTGCTCGTGAATGCGCGGTCGCAGCAGAGCAATGGCATCTCCACAGCTAAAGGAAGAGTTTAGGAAATTAGTTGCAGTTCCAAAAAGAGTTACAACTCACCTAATGGCCAGTGGATTAGTGAGACTCTGCCGCAATTGCCCGCACAGCCGGCGCAGATAGCCATTGGTCAGTATCGTATATGCTGCGCTGCCCAGGCTCATCAGCGAGAAGATCAATATGGAGGGCACGACAATGCGCCACGGTTTTGGCAGGACACTGTAAGCAAATGGCATAGTAATGTGACTAAATATATATCTGACTATGCTAACTCTGTTCCGAATATAAGCTTGGGAGCATCCGACTACAGGGCTGTCCATATTCAACGAACCTAACTGGCAACCCTATATGTATGCTTCAAATCGGGCAAAATACGCCGTACAGACTCAAGAAGTACAGGCTGATTATACAAATAAAAATAAAAATAAAAATATTTTTTAAAAATGGTCAACCTTGTAGAGCTGCCAGATCCGTTCAATATGGACGACCCTATATAGTACATCTCGAAGGCAGAAGTCATCTGTTTTATCAATCATCCTATTTGCCCAGCTTTGGTTTATCAATTTTCTGAAACAGTCATAGAAACAATATACCCCATGCATGGGCATGCCTAATGAGGCTTACGCTTTAAATATCTCTATCCGAGATGTAAACTTTTACGTAACGAGCTCTACATTTAACTTGAATATTCATGACCAGACCGACCTGCCAAGTCAATATACCCCGTATCACATTCAAAACAGAATATACAAATTAAAAATAAACTTCTAATAAACATTCACACTTACGATGTTTTCTTGCTGCCCGTTTGATAGATGAGACACATGGCCGTCCAGATAATGGCCACAATTTCCGATATCACTGGAAAGGCGTAAACAAATTGAGCGCCAATGCCACGACTCCAGCGAGTTCCATGTTGGTCTATAGACTCTGCAATAGACATAAACGTTGTGGACTCAATTACTCCATGCTCTGCTACTCCACTTACGGCTAGACAGAAATTTGAGATCCGCTTCAGCATTCGGCACAATCTTGGGTGGCTCATTTGTTGTGGTTGTTACATCCTCCGGCGCTCGCTCCTGATCGCTGACCAAACGCGCTAGCAGTGGCGCATTGTCCTTAGTCTCGTAGATATGTTCGAATTTGTATTTTGGCTTCTTAGTTTCTGTCGAGAAGCAATTTTACATTCACTCCAGCTAGGGTATAAGCGAGTCTACTTACGGCTGTCGCTCTTCAACGGTTGCGGCGTTTCTTCGTATTCATACGACAGTTGTCCTAGATTCTGCAGATCCTGTTTGATAATCTCCTTGCTCTTCGCATTCAGTTGGTCAAAGTCGCGATCCTTAAACGTTATTTTGGCACTAATGATTCCCGCATTGAAATCGCCCGACAACATGTGCAAGGAAACGCTCCAGATAATCGAAAAGATCGCCACCAGCACCATGAGACATATAACAATATCTGGATAGGGAGAACATTTAGTTCATAAGTTTAAGTTTTAAAAAATCATATATTTATATTACAAATTCAGTGGAATAAATATGAAAGCCTTAAATAAAGCTAAGATTACTTTAAATATGTTGAGGTGCCCAAATTCCAATTCCTTTATTGGGTACAATCATAAGTAGTATAAGGAATAGCTATTTCTCCTTCTATATAGTTTTATTGCTAATATCCAATGATTTATTATATTTTATTACAACTATATTAAGACGAAGGTTACCTATAAGAATAGCTAATTTCTTTGGTAGGAACATGATAAATTATTGCGCATAGCTGGCGAAACATCACGAACGGAGAAGCATCATTTACAATAGCGGAAGGTGGAGCTGCGGATAGACGTGGCGGCGTCTCTTTTTGTATACATATTCGTAAATTTACTAGAATTCATTGTGAAAAAAAAAACATACACACACACTGGCTCGCACATTTACGAACATACACAGTCCATAAACTAGCTGGCCAGAGTTTATATTGGAGGCATGATATCATGGCAGATGTTGTATGACTTGGTTAACGAGCCACGAAAGCAATCGAACGATAACATTTGCATGCTCTAGCCGATAGATACCCTATAAGAAGCTATTAAAATCGATATTTATCGATATTAGAGACATGAGCATATTAGCTAACCAGGAAACTATTGTTTAGTGTATAGTCATTTAATGGTACACCATAAGCGATTCAGAAATGTTTTCAAAAACTTCTATAAAAGGGAATACTTATTGATATTAATTTCTGTTTGTATATAGGCCAATAAAAGTCTCTGCATGTTAAATAACATTAAAAGCCGGAGTGCTTTTTAGACAACTCGTAACCTGTAACAAGCTCAGAGATATTTTGTAAACTTGATTTCAAATTCGATATTTATCGATATTGTAAAAATTAATATAATATTTTTATTACTAATAAAAATATTTTAATTACTAATAATACCATATATTAATATACCAAATGTGAACTGTTACTCTCGTCTTTTACACTCTCAATGGCTCAATGCCCATGCCACCCTTCACATATTCACGTATTCCATGGGTATTACAATAGAAACAACAACATGACAGCATTTGCCGATGACGTTGAAATTAGCGACGAAGCTACTCAATAAAATCCATTTCAATTGATGCTAAATTTCCGACACGCCGAGTTCACAGACAAATGTTAAAACGCCGAGCGAAATAAATTAAATGAAACGAAATGTTCAGGCAGTCAAATGAGAAATGCATTGTGGCTAAAAGTCAACAAACATATTTACAAAATTGAAATATGTGTGCGATCATAAAAGTCGAAATGAAAATGCGGTATTTTTTGTTTCGTATAGCCGCTCATAAGTTATTCAGAGTATATGGGAAATATAGAATATATGTACATATATATAGGAGATACGTGAAGTAAATTTGAAGTAGACTTGAAAGACATTCTAGAAAAATGATTTTGGGAAATTTTAAAGATCGATCAATCATCAATATCGATCAACTTTGAGAGCTCGCCTCATTAAATATAAATAGTTTGAGGGGTATGAATTTATTGAAATACAAATATATCGCGCTTGCTCTGAGCGAGTATTATGCAGTCAGTGTTAGCTCAATTCAATATATTTTGCTGTCTCACCATATGTGGAAATTGTTGTCTATTATTTTATACTTAAAGCCATTTTTATGTTTAGCAAGGATTAATGCAAAATCATAAACTCAATAGCAAATAGACTGATAAATATGCATATATACGAGTGTGCTCACGACTAATGAACAACGAATAATGAGTAGGCTTCATGCACAATTGAACGCATAAATTAGAAATGTTTGCATCATATGGTTTGAGTTGTAGTTGTAGTTGTAGTGGTTGGCTGGCTGATATTGTGTGGTGCAGCAAATGACATCATGCCCCATCTCCAGAGCTGGCTCCACTCTTGCCGCCAAGAGACCGACGAGGGGGACTGGCGACTTGGCCATTTAGACAAATTGTTAGCCGAGAATCTCATTAGCACCGCGGGCAACTATTTTCGGTACGGCAAATTGTCGATTTGTGTAACTGAATATGGCTCATGGGCGCTAGACGATGGCGTAATGCCGTATAAAGCGAGTTATAAATAAATATTACGGCTCGAAACTCAATATGAAAAAAAAAACAAAAACAAAAAAACAAAAATCAGAATCCAAATCAAGTAATACTTTGATTCATAAGATGCCAGCTGTGCGTCTTATACGCCTAGAACTATCAAATAGACCACATCATTTCTGGTAAAACTTTTAACTAGCTGCGATGCTGCCATCATCTCAGCCGGAAGCTACTTCGGGTTATTTGCAATTGCTTTTATACTGTTGACTTGAACCACATGGCGTATGCGCATTTCTCTCTTATGAACTGCGCCCACACACAGCACTTGCCGCCATTAGCTGCACAAGTTAATTGTTTATTAATATTTCAGCAAGCACCAACAAATAGAGCCGCCAAACGTCAGAGCCAAAAGGAACAAAAAATGCTGCGCGGGCTGCTGCAGGGGGCAACCTCAGGTGCTGCCAATTCGCTACCTAATTAGCGTGCTAAAGTACAGAAATTAACACATTTCGCAAAGCCTTTAGGCCAATTTAGCACCTGTAACTATTTGCTTACGTAGATTTTACGATATTAAGTGTGAGTTAGGGAAGCTTAAGTGTGTCCCAGATATGAGCTTTATGAGGCTGGGGCTATTCTGGCTTAGGGAATTCGAGTAGAAATTGTGCATGGATTTTTAGAGTCACATGTACATGCATATGTGTGTGTATGTGTGTATACATACAAATGATATACTGTAGTTTATTTAATAAATTGCTGACTTCAAAATCTATTCAATGCTGCTCATATCATTGTCATCTCTCAGTCCCATGCAAAAAAAACTTGAAAACATAAAAAACATGAGATTTTATATATGTACATATATGTATGTGTACCTACGTGTACACATATATCCATATATACATATATACATATGTATATATTTGTATATCTTCAAGTATTGGGAGTTTTCTAGAGTTGCATGTTTATATAAACAAATAGTCGTATGTATGGTCATATCTGATTGCCCTAAGCTCATTTATAAGTTGGCGACACAAACTCCTGCTATTGCCTGCTCATAAAAATAAATGCTATAAAAAGAATATAATTGTTCTTTATTTTTGTTTTCATTTTTCCATGCTAAGCTAAACTATGCGTGTGTGTGTGTGTGTTCTTGCTTTAATGTCAAAGTCATTCATCAATATTCGTTTACACATTTTCGAAAAATAATAAAAACATTATTGATGAAAGGCGCATTCCACACACAGAGACAGACCTAATGACAGGCGCGACAGACGAACAAGTTGCTATAATTGATCAAAAAATATTTTTGCTGTCAACTTGGTGGCCAATGAAGGCGCCTCCTAAAAAATTCTCTTAGAATGTCACATATATATACATACAAAATATATGTATGTATATCTAATAGGTATGTGCAGCTGAAGGTTGTTTCTTCTCGCCCTTTGTAGGCGTTGGTCTTGGATAAAATAAAAAAGAGTATATAAATATTTATAGTGACACATTTACAGCATAAATCATTTTCAATATATACATGTATATAATCTTGTAAAGTATACAAAATAAAAATATAAAATAAAGTATAGCGGTTGGTACAAACATACGATTTAGATTGCGCACATCGCCCGTTGTTAGCTTTCTCTGTTTGTATTTGCTTATCAGCTCCATGCTGGCATTTTATTTGGTTGTTCGTATTTTTATTGCAATATACACGATATATAACACGATATACATATGCTCGATTAAACACTTATTGTACACAATCCACAGTATGTATTTTTCGCATTTAATTTACGCACTGCTTCAGTTGTCTGGATTACATATGTAAGGCATAAGAAATATGTGATTTATCTTGAATTCACATCAATTTTGAAATTTTATTTGCCACATTCGTTTAGTTTTTATGCGATTTTTATAGCAGCTAAGCTAGATATTGCGAATCGAAAATTTATAAACACAATAATCAATAAACTGTTGATGTGTGTGCATGTGTGAAACACCATAAATATTAACAAAAGTCATAAATAAACTAAAATTGGTGCTAGCTCGATTTATAGAGTCAAAAGTTTAAGCAGAAGATTAGTGAAGATCTGACTTAGTGACGGGACTGATTGAATAACCGAAAAGCTGAGCAGCTGACTGAATGATTGAGTGTCTGATTGATTGGCTAACCAATTAGTAACTTGGCTATCTGGAAGTCTGATTGATTGTCTGACTGTAAGGTATTTACTGTGATAGTGATATACTAACTAACTGAGTGATGAACTGATTGAATGATTGCTTACTGCAGTGATAAACTTACTGATTGACTAACTGATTAACTCACTGGTTGAAATATGGACTGATTGAATGGCTTACTGAAAAATAGACAAATTGATTGATTGACTGAATGGCTGAGGAGGACAATAACCAGTTGACTAATTGAATGATTGACTAGACACTAGATTGACTGCTGACTGATTCTCTGTAAGAGACTAACTCATTAAAAGATGAACAGATTGACTATCGTCTGAACGCTCTGATTAGCTGGCTCTGGTTGACTGTCTAATTGACTGAGTGATTGCCTTACTATTAGAATCATTCATCATTCAATCATTCAATGATTGACTAATTGACTCAATAAATGATTGACTGAGTAGAATAACCGGCTCAATAAGTGAATGACGGAGTGATAGATTGACTGATTGCCTGACATTATAAATGTCCAAAATTAGAATATGCACAAAATTCGGGCCACTCAAGACTGAGAAATGGTACGCAAAAAATACACAATAAACAGTTCAAAGACTGAAATTCATAATGAAGATAATTTGCGTATTTCTTTTTTCGGACAATTTGATGGCATTCAATTTGTGTAACGTATGCGTCGTTAAATTAACACCTTTTGTTAGGTTATTGGGAACGTGTGCCCCAAACTCCTTACAGACGGCTATGACATGCCATTAGCTCTATAAATAGAAGTTTGTTTGGCGCAGACAATCAAGACGCCCAACTCCAGCCGTGCATGTCGCAATTCAGGGTCAGCCCAAAAGAACCCCAAAAAATAATAGGGGCAATTTCATTGAATATTTATGCTATTTACATAATGTCGTATCTAACATTTGCATAAATGCGCTCAAGCGTTGGAAAAACAAAACCGATTCGTTGTGTTGTCGTATCGAAGCAAACAAACAAATGAAACGAAAATCACGCGAGGCACGAGGAACACGAACCGCAGCTCGAGGCAGTTGCTCAGACACTGAGGCGGCGGCTAGCGTTTGTGAAAACATATTTCTCCAGCGTTTCACTCAAACAGCAGCGAAGCAAATAAGAGAGACAAAGCATGAGAGACAGAGCGAGAGAGTGAACGAAAGGTGAGTAGAGCGAGAGAGCTAGATTGTGTGAGCGCGTTGCTTCTGAGTTTTGTTTTGATTTTGTCAGCCTGCAACTGGTTATTCGAGTTGTTGTTGTTGTTGTTGTTGTTTCTCACGTTTTTGTTTTGCTTTCTCATTCTCATTCTTGTTTGTTATTTTTCTGTGTTGTTTGTTATTATTCTTGATGCTCGAATCACATTTCGGCGCGATGATGCGGGCGTATGCGTAATATTGTGGTTCTCGTGCGAATCCCAGCTAAATTTCTATCATAATTTTTTTAGTTTTCATTTAAAGTTTTAGAAGAGTTTCAAGTATTATTTTAAGGTATTCAAATTCCTCGCGGTTGATATTAAGTTTTTGTGAGTTAGTTTCTTTTTTATAGGCACAATTATCGGCGATGACCTTGAAAATGAAAGCCGCTTACACAGCTCAAGGTGAGCTTAATTAACAACCACAATGGGCCAATTCCCATGTGTATGTGAGCCACTAAGGAATATGCATTTCCATCGCGTGTTAGGCGCACGTCTAGTTTATTCTTCTTCTTTTTTTTTTTTTTTTTTTTTTTTTTGCCTTTTTTTTTTTTTATAAAAACTTCATCTGGCTGCTGATAAACATTTTCAGTAAGGTTTCTAGCAACTCATTTTCGCATTTCATTTGCTTATCGAATGCAATTTGTTCGAGCTGCATGGCAATTACTAACTATTTAGCGGAATGAATATTAAACAGAAGAAATTAGAAGCAACTGTATAATACTCGTTCAAGGCGCATTAATGGGTTAAATTTGGAAAAATATTAGTTGAGTATACATATAGATACATATATAGTGGATGAATTGGCTAAGTGATCCTAATTTATGTATATGTTGAATACGCCAGTTGGTCTAGTTTTGTATCCTATCAGAGCTCTAATGGAATAAAAAGTTATTATAAATAGTATGATACTAATTGGATAAGTTAGAGATCCTATATTATAAATTATATTATAAACCTAAATATTGAAAAAAAAAATTGTTGATCCAATTGAAATTTTTGGTGATCCTAGTCCTAGATGTATTTTTCCATGCTTCTATATATACTATTTATTTAAATATTCCACTTTTCTTTGCAATAGGATCTGCGGTATTTTCGATATTCCCCATCAGGCAGAGGTCATTAGGCTATGAGTTTAGTAGGTTTAGAATACTTTGTGATATTTAACATTTCAAGTTTCTTATTTTAAAAGCGTCCAAAGTATAATGGCATTCATACTGAACTCTGAACTTGACCTTTAATGAAACAGGGGTATACACGACTACATATGTACACTTAAGATAGATGTACGGATGAGCAAGCCAGCGGACAGTGATTGTGTTCACTTGGTGAAAGAGTTTTATTACAGGGTATAACATATGACCCTTGAAAGTATATTGATTTTGTAATGTTAATGGTGAAATATAATATCAAGTTTCTTGTCAGGCATATACAAAACCATATATATAGTACAATAAATGTGTGTACACATTGGACCGTACGAGCGTTTTGTCGACATGATAAGAAGTGTTATTCATTTAGCGCGAAACATAACCGTCGACACACTCTAAAGCCATATCTACTCCATATATAAATATTTATTTTAAAATATCAACAGGAAATATTTCCTGAACTCATTTCTTGTTAAATATGCTGATTGAAAGTAGCGACACATTTATATATGTAAATATGTATCTATGTTTTTACAAATCGAAAATTTGTTTTGTCATCTTGCTAATGGAAAATTCTAAACAAAACATGTATGCATACATACTGGCATACACATGTTCATATTTACATCACATAAATATAAACAGCCATTTATTATTTACCTTCCTCTGGACATGTGTGAAGAACGAAACGTGGCTTTCAAATTGGCGATGACGTTGTCGGCTTATGCAAATTAGCAATAGCTATGACTACATTTCATGGATTTATTACACTGTTACAGGCAACGGACATGCGGATACAGATACAGATACAAAACAAAAAACGTAAAGAAGAAGATATATTGCACTATAGATAAATAACATCTGAAATTCAATCATATTGACATGATTAAATGCAAACTACATCTACAACAGCTGAAGGACATCAGCAACACTGAATGCGTTACAAAGCATGTAATTAATTGACTCATGGCTCACATGACGTATGCCTAAGTTTTGTTGTCATTAAATTTTTGCTTTATAAGAATACTAAAAATAAAAAATAAAAAAAAAATTGTATTAAAGAAAAAATTAAAAAATGCTTTTCATTTTATCCTGACGATAAACTTAATCAAAGATTTCAAAAATGTATAACATTTAAAATATATTTTATTTTAGCATTGAAAATGTATTCCTAAAATTTTATCCTGAAGATAAATTGCTATTAAATATTAATGAATTAGAATTTAAAATTTTTGCTCATATCTGCCTTAAACTTGAATTTGATGACTATTATCTATGCAATGAAGCTATTCCAACTAACCCTATGGACAATTTCTCTCACACATTACAGCTTCAACAATATGTATGTAAAATGCGTATATTACGATTTGTAAATGGGATTTTACAATAATTATGAATTTATTTATATATTCAACTATCGCTATGACCTTTGAAATGTAGCCATTAAAATATATCCTGAGGGTAAAATACTTACACTCATAGCGCACAACTGTGCGTCGCGCCTCCTGCGTCAACATCTGCAGGCTTTCGCCTATCCGGCGTATCCTGTGCGGCGTGCTCTTCAGCGTATTCGCTGTCATACTGTGCGCTCCGATACAAGTGTAATAGAACTGTGCCAGGCATAATTATTATTTACGTGCTGGAAGTGCCTTCTACATGAGGCAAACAATTAACAAAATTGCAATGCAAAAACTTAGCACTTGGCTGCGCATTTTTATTTCTATTTTTTTATTTTTATTTTATTTTTATTTGAATTTTTTTATTGAAGAGCACTCGAAATCCAGCCAAGTCGATGTTTAGCAGAAGCGAGCGCGTTCGAATAAACGTTCAAACGTAACGAATGCTCGACGTGAACTGTGAAAACGGCACAAGAAACGCGACTGAGCGTATGAGTGTGTCAGTGTGTGTGTGTGTGCGGGCATGTGTGTGTGTGTGTAAGACAAATTCTAATTTGTTGGCGTCACTAGTCGGTGGTAAGAAACTGAGCATAGATGCCAGACTCAGTCAGACAGTCAGCAAGTCTTCTGTCTAGGCAGAGCATTGGAGTGTGTGTGTGTATGTGTGTTAGCCAAAAGTCACCCCTAAATGAAGGACCTGCACGCACCGGTGCCAATGACCGACCCAGTCAGCGTTTTGGGACACATTTCAGATCCCTGTGCGGGGTATTACGTATGCGTGCCCAGCTAAGTATTTTACAGTTAATTAGTAGAGTCCTGAAAACAAAACCAACACCTGGCAGTTGTTTAGACCAAAAAAATAAAATGTAAGAGAAGCTTAGAGGGCAGCACTCAACTAGAAAATACCCTGACCTTTATATAATGATATCATATGTCATCATAGAATCAATATATTCTTGCATATCTCCATTTAAGGAAAAATAATCCCGTTTTATAACTCTTTGAATTAAATTGCATTTTTATTTTATGAAAAATACTCGTTTGTTTCTTAAATAAATTAGTTTAGTTTAGTTTAGATTTAATGTTTTACTTTTAGTTTTGTATAATGCGCGGTTTACTTGGTGTTAGTTACAAAGAATTGTCGTTTGCATTTTGCTTAGGTTACGAAATTTTCTTATTGTTTTTATTATTATTATTATTGGTTTTTTTTTACAAAAAGTTCTTACACACATAGATAATTGCTAAATATTGGTGTTACATTAGACTAAAAATTTCATAAAACATTTGTGCAACAAAAACGCATTGCAATTACATTTCTTCCTTCTTTTTTGTTGTTTACTTGCCCGCTCTATAAATAAATATAAAATTAACATACTCTGTATATATATAGATATATATATTTTTGTATATATATAAATTTGATCAATTTGTTGAAATTATTTGCCGAACAATAGAATAAAAAAGTGCTCGCATTTCTCTTTTCTTAACAATTTGTTTGCAATATAATATTACATATATACAGTACAGTATATATATTATTAAAACCCGATTGTTTGAACAAATTGGAGTCGATAGATCGACATTTAGTTTTGGTTACTTACTAGCTAGATTGTCTATACATAGATTTCGACTACATATAATACTACGAGTAAATGTGGTTTGCTTAATGGGCAGAGCTTTCTTTAAATATATATGGTGTTTGGATTCTCGAATTGTAAAATGTATAAATAAATTTTGATTTTGTTGCTTTGTGCTTAACACTTAACTATAGATCAAACATTCAGATGTTGACATTATATCATATGAGTAGAATAGCATGTGTGTTAGTGAATATTCAAAACAAAATTACAACAAACAAAGCTTGATGGATTATTAAAATTAGGTTAATTATGAATTGTATATAAATTAGGCTCTCATAATGAACAAAGCTCAAAATTGATTAAAATCATAAAATATAATATTTGTAATTAGACTTGAGTGGACGTAAGTAACATGGAATTGTTTTTAAATCGAACAAACTTACAAATTAATACGTAGCTCTCTCTCATAATTCCAATGCATATCATAGTTGAAAATTGGAATCTTGGCAAATAAATAGTTAAATACGGTGATTAGTTGGACTAAATTAGCAACGAGATGAGTGAAATAAATTACAATATCAATAAGCAATATAAGAAATCATAAAACATAACAGGAAACGTGTGTGTGTGCTTTTGTTTTTGTTGCAATACTATTCTTGTTCCAATAGAACTCCGCGTGGATTGTTGGCTATTCGAGTAGCCGCCTGGCTCTGGATTTTCGTGTTTGTTTAGCGGGGAA